ACCCAAGCAACAGTAAAAAAAACAATAATAAACTTGTAGCTGCCTTATTAAGAGAGCCAATAAACCCAAACAGGCTAAGGATCTAGAGTTACAGTATTTGAAGCACCACAAAGACAAGTCCCACCCTCACAGTCACAATCGTCTGAGTTGTCCCGTACTATAATCTTCCGTCCCCCTCTCTGGAAGATACCTATGGGATTTCCACAAATAGGTCGCAGCCATGCCACTGTCACCACGGTCACGGTCGCGGTCCCTCCAAGATACGGGCTTGTGCAACTTTGACATGGTCAATCAAGCCAACACTGACCCAGCAAGAATGAGGACAGGGCCTGCTAAGCCACATCTCCAGCACAATTCATCATCATCACCATCCGTATCATCGGACCACTATCCCAGTAACCCTAAACCCTAAACCCTAAACCCTAAACCCTAAACCCTAAACCCACCAGCTCAACCGAGGGCGCCCCCCAGGCCTGTCATGACGACCGCCTCGGGCTTCATCTCGCCCCCCCCTCTGTCGGCTTCGGCTGCGCTGGCGGTCCTTTCATAGCTTTGCAAGACCAAGCAAAGGATGCATGGGTTTAGGGTTTAGGGTTTAGGGTTTAGGGTTTAGGGTTTAGGGTTTAGGGTTTAGGGTTTAGGGTTTAGGGTTTAGGGTTTAGGGTTTAGGGTTTAGGGTTTAGTCTGCCAGAACCACTGCCTTTCGGTGGAGTGCGGCTCTTGTGAGTCCTTCTGGGTTGCGCGCAGCTCTTTCTCATGCACCTGCCAAAAAAAGAGGTTGCCTCTCTCTCTCCACAAGCTAGGCCCCCCGAAGGGGAGCCGCCCCGAAGAGCACGTCTCTCCCTCTCTCTCTCTCTCTCTCCCACTCTCCCTCTCTCTCGCGACTCGCGACAACAAGTGACTCAAGCAACCTGCCTTGCTCCCGATCGCTGGGGCATATCCGGGCTCCTGCAGCATGACCAGACTTTTACAGGTTGGCGCTGCGCGCAACGGGCCACTTCTGTGGCAACCATAAAACCTCTGCCTGCATGTCCCCAACCACTCTAATTCATGATCATCTTAGATGAACCATACTTCCTGCCTCTGCACATCAGTCCTTGATGGGTTTGCCCTCCCGTAGATCCCGAAGCATCATCATGACCAAGGAGGAGGGCTTGTTGGAGCGCTCGAGGTGCCTGGTGTACTTGAAGTATGGTTGCTACTTCGAGTACTGCGGACTGGAGGTCGTGAATCACATGAAAAGGTGAGACTGCTTAGATTCTACTGTTATTTCTCGCATCCACAAAAGGGCATCAAGTATGTGCACTCACCAGCATTTGTCAGGGAACGCATCCACAAAAGGGCATCAAGTATGTGCACTCACCAGCATTTGTCAGGGAACCCTAAATACACTCACCACCAATAACATGCTTAGAAGCAAAGCAGCGCGAATAGAAGCGTGCGATCACTCGGCTTCCCGCTTTTGGATCTTGCTGAGGTCAGCTTCAATGTCATCACGGTTGTGGAGAACCTTCGGATGCAAATTCGGCTACCTTTTTTCGACCTCTTGATCGGTACGCAGCTGAGTGAACAAAAACCAAGCTTAACTGAAACTAAAACCCTGAGGGGGAGGGCGAACGGGGCAGGCTCGGCGCAGCAGAGTGTTCGGCACCCTAAACCCTAAACCCTAAACCCTAAACCCTAAACCCTAAACCTAAACCCGACACTCTCCGGAGTATCGGAGTCACTGGTCCTCAACGCCACCCCACTGGGCAGCTCGATGCTTCACCTAAGGTCCTGAGGGCCGCCTCGGTGGCCAATTTTGTGGTTTGTGGTTTGTGGTTTAGGGTTTAGGGTTTAGGGTTTAGGGTTTAGGGTTTAGGGTTTAGGGTTTAGGGTTTACACATAGTTGGAAGGCCCCTAAAGGGCCGCTCTAGTGGGACGAAATGGCCACTACATCTCCCCACGCTACAAAGCAACATACATCCCCAGCTCTTTCTTGTATCCTGCCTTTCAGGCCTTTCCTGATTGTCGATGTCGCAATGGCAGCCTTCCCATTATTTGAAAGCAACAAGACGACTTCACGTGTTCTTTTGGTGGCCTTGGTTTTGGCACTCAGAGGAACGTCGCACATTCCCATTTGGTGAAAGGCAGGGGGGAAAGGTTCTCCACGACCGCCCCCCACCGCGCACCTCCGCCAGCTTCACCGCCGCTTGAGCATCGAGGCGATTTCGCTTCGCAAAGTCGTGGATCTGGTGTCGGAGACAAGAGGAGAAAAGAGGAACTAGGGTTTAGGGTTTAGGGTTTATAGGGTTTAGGGCTTATAGGGTTTAGGGTTTTCCAGGGTTTAGGATTCAAGTCGAAACCTCGAACCTGCTTGTCCAGGGCGGTCATGCCCTTAAAGGTCCCCATTCGCATATCCTTCAGCTTCATCATGAGCATTCCTGACAGTGCATGCACAAAGGTCGGGGGCCGATTTTATCAATCCATGCTCGCATTCGCCAGGGGGTTGGGGCGCCTCTCGATGCCCCCAGCAGGCGAACTCCAAATGCTCCCCATTGCCACCAAACAACTGCAGCCCCCAAGCCTAAACCCTAAACCCTAAACCCTAAACCCCTAACCCCTAACCCTAAACAATAAACCCCAAACCCTAAACCCTAAACCTGCCGAAGGCCCGAGCCTGACGGGTTCTTTGCCCCTTCCAAGCCCACCCATAGGGCTTGCAAGTCAGACTCAAACCTCGGCTCAGACACAGGTCGGATGCGTTGGTTTAGGGTTTAGGGTTTGGGGGTTGGGTTTTGGGGTTTAGGGTCTCGGGGAGTTTGGGGATTTTCGGGTTTAGGGCCATCAGCCAGCAAGCGCGGCAAGCGGACAATCGCAGCAAAGAGTCGTCGCTCTTCGCTTCTTCATTTCTTCGTCCAGCGCCCGCGTGGCGCGATCATCTGAGGGGAGATGCCACACCCGGGTTGGCCCTTTCCCTCACATGTGGTGCGCCTCTCCCCTCAGCCCAGCCTAGTCCATGGTACTCTGCAAGTTCCGACACTTGAGGGTCAATTCCAGCATTCTTGATCTGCTCGTACTCTGTTGCCACTTGCTGAAACCTAAGTTGCCCAGGTCATTGTGGCAACTGGAATCTTAGGGTAATTGCACGGTCCCTCAGTATGGGCCCTTAAACGGGGTACCTACCCCTTTTCTACGCCTTATATACCCTACGCAAATTAAGGAAGGAGGTAAGGGACCAAATTAAGGGCCCATGAAATGGAAGTTCACTCACTGTGCAAGCACATGTGAGTGAACTGGCCATAGCGTTCAGCCCCACAGCATCAGCACCTCCCTAAACCCCAAACCCTGAACCCCTAAACCCCTAAACCCCGAAACCCCTAAACCTCTAAACCCCTAAGCCGCCTAAACCCTCAACCGCCTAAACCCTAAACCGCCTAAACCCTAAACCCTAAACCCTAAACCCTAAAAGGGCCGCCAAGGCACCGCATCTGGGCCAGAGCTTCGGAGTCCATTGACCCCGGTGGCAACCCAGGCATCGGCAGCTTGGGGAGTGCCTGCGGTGGGCCGATGCCTGCAATTTAGGGTTTAGGGTTTAGGGTTTAGGGTTTGGGGTTTAGGGTTTGGGGTTTAGGGTTTAGGGTTTGGGGTTCACAAGCTTAGGGTTCACAAGGGTTTAGGGTTCACAAGCGTTTAGGGTTCAGGGTTTAGGGTTTAGGGTTTCGGGATTCAGATAATTGAAATTCAGAAGGTGTCAGGCTGCAGTGGTCCACTTGGAGTATTCATGTTCGACTTCTCATTCTCACTACGTTTACGCTTAGTTGGGAGGGAAGTGCGTCTGCAGGTGGACCAACAAACTGGACGCAGCTTTTGCTCAGGCCAAGCTGGGCTTTAGCACACCTTCCGACGCCCATGCTTGACACGGCTGGAAGCTACGCTTTGAGAATGCTACAGCAGTGCCGTAGATCTTTAACATTGTACGAGTAGAAGCCATGGCTGGAAGAGATGATGCTTCAACAAGAAGCGGAGGCGCACGCGAAGGGCTGAGATTGCTTAGGCCATGAGGAGGGCCGTCTGCGATTTGCAGAAACGATCTTCAAGCCATGACCCTAAACCCTAAACCCTAAACCCTGAACCCTAAACCCTAAACCCTAAACCCTAAACCCTAGACCCCCCTCTCCGTTGCAAAATTGGCTGCAAAACTCCCCCTCCCCCAACTCCCCCCCTTCCCGGCCTGGCGGCAGCTGCAGTCCGAGCCCGAGGCCTCCGAGACCCGGGGGCGGCGGCGGCATCTTGGCGCCCGGAAAGGAGGGGAGGCCACCTGCAGGAGAGAGAGCGAAACAGAGAGAGAGAGAGAGAGAGAAAAAAAAAACAAAAAAAAAAAAAGAAGGAAAGAAAGAGAGAGAGAGAGAGAGCTGCTAAACTGGCGTTTTGAGCTCATCCCGTCCTGGAGGCATCTGCAAGCCTGGGAGCCCGAGCCCAGGCAGGAGGCCCGGAGGCATTCCCGGAGCACCCGGAGGACCCAGGGGAGCACCCGGAGGAGCGCCGGGCATCTTCGGGGGCACAGTGCCCGGAGGGCCCCCTGGCATGCCCGGGAACGGGAAGCCCAGGGCCGCAGGGTCCAGGGCTCCTGCGTCGCGGTGTGTGTGGCGATTCCTCACCATATAGTGGGGTTTCGCTTCCTTGTATTCCCCCAAGATTTACTTAAGGAAACGTAAAAACACTCCAAGCAATAACACAATAGCATGTAAACCGAATATCACATGGCACCCCCGTGGATACTTCAAGATCCTGCCGGCACATTGGGGAATCCGCTGGGCATCTCCATCTCCCCGCCTCCATCCTCAGTGCAGTCTGCCCATACAAAATCAAGAAACCCTAAACCCTAAACCCTAAACCCTAAACCCTAAGCAGGACCTGAGGCAACTTCAGCAATCCTCGCTATCAGGGATATGCAACACCCAGAACTCCCGGAACATGAAGCGTTGGTGCCAGGCGTCTCCCCCGCGCTTTCGTCCCATGGCCTCACCAAAGCTACCTTGGTGGGAGATCAGCACAGGACATGCGACGGCTGATGTCTGAGAGCTGTTTTTCTAGTTAGATCGGGTAGGGAGCCCCTAAATCAGGAAGCAAGAAGGTCTTCCCATAGGTTCTCCTCCACTTGAGGAATCCTGCTCTGGATGCAGCCATGTCTCCGCGTCTGCAAGCGCACGGTTTGGCGCATGTACGAAGGCTCGGCGGCGGAAGTGGGGCCACTCGATCTACTCCTCTCAACCCTTGCTCTCTGCCTTTTGACCCGAACCAGTGGAAAATCGACCAAGCGTGCCGTCGGGCTGAAGCTCAGCGCCTGTGCTGCTTGCGGTGTGCGGACGCCTTCGATGTACATGTGACATGCCTGCAATGCAAGATTCGGCGGCGGATGCACTTTGACTCGGGGCTGCTGCCTTCAGGGGCCATGTGGGCACTTCCCCAAGTAGGGGTTCCCCCCCAACATACTTTCCAAAGACCAGGGCCCCATGTTCTATAGTCCGTGTTTTCGGAATTCCCCCCCCCCAAAAAAAGGGATACCCCGAATTTCGAAAACCCCCCTGAAGTGCGAATGTCAGATCCAAGCTCTTGGAAAGGCCCCTAAACCCTAAACCCTAAACCCTGAACCCTAAACCCTGAACCCTAAACCTGGGGACCACAGGACAAGGCTGTTGAGGTCCGGACGCGGTTCACAGGGATGAATGTCCCTGAGTGGGCAAACCATGTCAAAAGACCTCCCCCTCACACAACTAGCGGGCACAGCACATGCACTTGAAGCGCACATGTTAGCGCGAGGTGCTCCTGTTCTGACATGACATACCTGGATCGCTTGCACACGTCGCAGAATGGTGCTTTCCGAGGGCCTGGTGGCCGCGAGAGTTCTGACGACCTCAGTCTGTCGGCACCCGCAAAATACAGAGCCCTAAACCCCAAACCCCAAACCCTAAACCCTAAACCCTAAACCCTAAACCCTTATGCACGACAGCGCAGCCGGTCTTGGACCAGGACTCCATCTGCCTCTGTGGAAGGCCACTCACCTTCCAAAATGTGAGAGAAGAAGCAAACAGGAACCCTATGATAACATGTCTCTAATGTAACCGCTATTCCTAAACCCTAAACCCTAAACCCTAAACCCTAAACCCTAAACCCTAAACCGCCCCCTAGACCCTAATCGCTGCGTTCCGGCCTTGAGACTGAACCCTCACTGCCTGCTTGACTAATGGGTACTGAAGAGGGAGAAACTTTCCTAAACAAGTAGACGGGAGTAGATGGGCTAGTATGAGACATCCGCTAGGTACAGAGGTCGACCAACGGGCCTACGAAAAAGAACATGCTCTGGTCACGTGGAATGTCTAGCAAGCACTTGTTGTTTACCAGGTCTCTTTTGCTGTGGCAGCGCAAACTGCTAACATTTTGAGACGCTTCTTTCACGACTACCCTGTGCATTGAAGCTGTTGCCTGCGGCGTGTGCGACGGCGGAGGTGGTGGCGATTGGCCCAGCCTCCGCATGAATGTCACCGGAGCCAGCTGCAGGCGGCAAAGCTGCACCAACCCAATTCAGGTGAATGGACATCCTGATGAACTGGTTAAGCCCTGACAAACATGCCAGCGCATCCCCTCGTGCGGCCCAGAACCGGCATCATGCGAGTACCTTCAGGCCCCCGACAAAGTTATCTTAGCATACCAGAGGGACCTGAATAATTAGAATAGGGCTTACGGGGGTTGTTTTTGTACATTATATAGGAACCATAGGGGAGTACTGTCAGAAATTATTCCGACCACTGGATTTCACGCTGGGGCAGGCCCTTGCCACTGGCTGAAACCCTAAACCCCAAACCCCAAACCCCAAACCCTAAACCCCAAACCCCAAACCCTAAGAAGGCTGTGCTCTGACAACGGCGTCTGCGTGGCAGGGGTCACAGGCCCAGCTGAGCCTGCCCTCCAAGCCTGGGCAGCCGGGTCACTAGTAATGCTCGTAAAAAATAGTAGTAATCGAATCAATACAAATAATAGTATGAACAGTTATAATAAAAATAATAGCAATAATAGTAATAATAAAAATTGTAATAATCGTAATAATAGTAAAGGATAGAAATAGTAGTAGCAAAGTAGTAGTAACAATAATCATAGTAATCATAGTAATCACAGTCATCATCGTCATAACAGTACTGCTAGGAATAATCGTAGTCATGGTACTACTAGAAATCATCGAAGCAGGGAACCAACAAGCAAGACAGATTGAGATCTCCCTCTATAGGTGGCAGACAGGGGATGCCAACTCGGAACAAGAGGTAATCCATCGATGTCTTACAGGAAAGAGGAAAGATGTGGGAGCTTCCCCAAGTAAGGTTCCCCGAGTATACCCCCCAAATAATGTAATCCTGATTCTAGGAGCCCCGAAAAGGGTACCCCGATTTTCGGAAACCCCTCATCTGGCTCTGCAGCAAGGGATTGAAGCCGCATCTGACTAGGGAGCGCACTGGCTCGCGGGAGTAGTCGGCTGAGGGCTTCCTGCACTTGCGCTGGTCACCCTAAGCTGCCAACCCTAAACCCTAAACCCTAAGCCCAAACCCTAAACCCTAAACCCTAAACCCTAAACTCTTATATAAACCCTAAACAATCTTTCCTAGTGGAGGCAAGCTGGCCAAGGAGCCACTTCTTGGCCTTTGTGGTCTGTATTCACTTGAAGTGCCACACAGAAGTGCTCCGAAAGCCTCTCCAAACCACCCAAACCCCAGCCCCTAGACCCTAGACCCTAGACCCTAAACCCTAAACCCTAAACCCTAAACCCTAAGCCCTAAACCCTAAACCCTAAACCCTAAACCCTAAACCCTTAAACCCTAAACCCCTAAACCCTAAACCCTAAACCCCTAAACCCTAAACCCTAAACCCTAAACCCTGTGCCTGGGATGCCGGATGCCGGCAGTGGAGGCGCAGCATGCGAAGGTGGAGGATGCTGTGGGCCATGCATCCTTGGGGTCTTTTTACACCCCAAGCCCTGAACCCTAAACCCTGAACCCTGAACCCTGAACCCTAAACCCCAAACCCTAAATCCTAAACCCTAAACCCTAAACCCTAGACGTTTTACTATATGAAACAGACATATATTCTATACAAGATGCAAACAATATCTAATATCTATATAGATATGTATGGTTGTCACCCCACAGAGAGAGAGAGAGACACACACCGGTCTCCAAACCACTATAATTAGTAACTAGCGATGAAAACACGATTCCTCGAAATTCCAAAACCGAATGATTCCTGCAGGGGTCTCTCCGTATCAGCATCTCCAAATCAAAAAACATTTAAAAGTAAAAAAACATTCAAAAAAATTCAAAAAAAAAGCTCGGGGAGAGTTGTTTCTTTTTGTTCCTTTCCTCGGGCTTGTGGTATTTATTGGTATTGTTTTTGGGGTGGAAGTTCCCGATGGTCAAGCACCCAAGCCAGTAACAAAGTCGAGGAGCAGGCCCAAAAGTAAAAAGCAAAACACAAGCCACGGGGAGAATCTCTAGAACTCGTTTCGATTTTTCTTCTTTTAGTTTCTTGGTTTTTTTGACTTCTGCAAAGAGTTGTCTGTAGGGTGAAGGGCCCCTATTGGTCTACAGTTATCGCCTAGCAGATCTGTCTCCGGACTCCCAAATAGTACGTTGAGGGGGGCGCAACTCTTGGGAATTTATGGTTCAGGGGTTCAGGGTTCAGGGTTTAGGGTTTAGGGTTTAGGGTTTAGGGTTTAGGGTTTAGGGTTTAGGGTTTAGGGTTTAGGGTTTAGGTTAGGGCTCAGGGATCAGGGGTTTAGGGTTGCGCAGAAGTTGAATGGAGTCAGTGTGCCACGGGCTCTTTCAGTAGGGACTGGGTCTGCTGGAACTGCTCAAGGTACTTGGAGTTTCATGAGTACGTATAGCCCCAATTATAAGTCTACTTATCACCTACTTAGAGGACTTAAGGGGCTCATAGGTACAGCTAGAATTGCGGTTATACGTACCTTGAACCTCAAGGTAGTGCAGGTACATGGCAGGCAAGGGGTTGTATCAACTATTCGGGGTACCTTGTTGGGGTCCATAGAACAAGAAAATCCTACTATTTGGTGGTCTATTTTTAAGGGCCCCCTATACATTTTCTCGGAAACCCCCATACTCCAAACCGCAACTCTCCCTGCATCCGAGCCGCGACTGGTACTGTTGGAATTGCTGCGCTTGCTGAGCTTGCTGCTCATGCTGCTGCATGCTTTGTTGGAGCTGCTGCATCTGCTGGTGCTGTTGCTGCAAGTTTTCTTGCGGCAGGCTACTTTGCTGCAGGCTCTGCTGCAGACTTTGCTGCTGCTGCAAGTTCTGCTGGTGTTGCTGTTGGAAATTCTGCTGCTGCTGCTGCTGTTGCTGCTGCTGCTGTTGCTGGAACTGCTGTTGCAGCAGCTGCTGTTGCTGCTGCTGCTGTTGCTGCTGCTGCTGTTGTTGCTGCTGCTGATGTTGCTGCTGCTGAAGCTGCTGCTGAAGCTGCTGTTGCTGCTGTTGCTGCTGCTGTTGCTGCTGCTGTTGCTGTTGCTGCTGCTGTTGCTGCTGCTGTTGCTGCTGCTGTTGCTGCTGAAGCTGCTGAAGCTGCTGCTGTTGCTGGAACGGCTGTGGTGGCATCTGTGGTGATTGCATTTGCTGCTGAGGCTGCTGCATCTGCTGTGATGGAAACTGGGGCGGTGGTATGGACGCTTGTGGTGGATATTGTGCCTGAAATTGCTGAAACGGCTGCGATTGCAGCTGCTGTGCAGGAAACTGAGGGTTCGGCTGTTGTGTGTAAGAAGATTGGCTGGAAGGGTAGGGTGGCTGCGGCATGCCAGAAGGTGAAAACTGCTGAAAATGCTGAGCTTGAGGGTTGAACTGCTGCATGTGCTGCGGCGACATGGCCGGCGACATCTGCCTGAGAACAGAGCACGGCAGACCCCATCAGGCCTGTAGCCCTAAACCCTAAACCCTAAACCCTAAACCCGAAACCCTAAACCCTA